CACTTGTCAGCCTACTATGCAAGGCCCAATTTGCCTAATAAGCCAAGTTTTCATGAATTAATTGTTTTTGACTACCTAACCTAACTTTTTCGGCTACCTAACCGAACCTAACCTATAAAGATAGGTTAGGTTAGGTTAGGTTAGGTAGGGTTGGTTAGGTTCGGTCATATATCTACGTTAATTTTAACTCTAATAAAAAAAAATTGACCTCATACATAATGAAATGGGTAGCTTTATCATTTCATCTGGAAAAATTGAGAAAATATATTAATTCATGAAAACTTGGCTTATTAGGCAAATCGGGCCTTGCATAGTAGGCTGAGAAGTGCGTTCTGGCTACTAGGTACGACATATATATATATATATAAATTTATTAAGTATATAAACATATATATATATAAATATATATATTTATTAAATATATATAAATATTATAAATTATACCAAAAGGAAGAACTGTGCTTGTGGAGCACTGATATAATTTTTACAGCAAGGAGTCTCAAGATGGAACAATATATTGAACGAGTTGTGCCACATGAACACAAATGTTAAGACTGTATTCACCAACATTTAATATTCGAAAAAAAATAAATGTATTATAAAATTTCCAACATGCTTTATCATTTTATAATATTTAAAGTACATTAGATGCAAAGTGGTGTACACACAATTATTTATGGATCTACCATGGACTTGATAATGACAAACTATACTAGTTAAACTACTAACAATAACATGTGATCTTTTTCCCCCTCTCCTTCAAGCGTACAAATTGGAAACCTACTTTTCAGTTACATAATATTGTAAATAATTTTATGTAGCATGTACAGGATTAACATAATGTACTACATGTATGTAGAAGAAAGGTCACAAGATATGCCTGCTAAAAGCATTTATTCTGTCTTAAAACAGTGATTAAAATCTCCTAACTAGACAGACAATATCTGCATTTACATGAGGCAAATTTTGTTAGTTTGCAGTACACTCCATGGGTAGATATGTGGTCTGGATAACACATTCCACAGTAAGTTTTAATGAATATATTTCTAACAATTTTCAGTATTTAAACAAGCAATGATGTAAACAGAAGTTGAGTAACAAAATAGTAAAGTTCAAGTTAAAAAAATATACAGCTATAACTTGACTATATAGACAGCTACATGTTTTCTGTACACCACTTGTTTTGGGATTGTTCAATTAAAGTTGGCTATAAAGTGGAGGCACGAGCGTTCATGGTGCGGCACTGAAGCCTTCATAACAGATTTTCTTGGCCAGATCAACAAAATATATGAACACCTGAACAAAATGCATGATGTGTTGTACGAACAACACATCAAGTTGATTTTTTCTCCATCACATTTGCTCATAGTTTACCTTAAATTGTCAAGGTAATAAACCACTTCAGAAACAGGTTGTTAGTCCAGTTTCAAGGTGTCCATAAAGCACATGGCTGTCTATACAGTCTTGATTTTTCATAAAGCAACTTTCTAGCATTTCTAAACATGGATTAATTGTTATATCTTCTCATGAACAATAATTTAAAAGCCCCTGTTCTTGCATTGGCAGATGAATTTATCAACCAATAAATACTTTAACAATTGTATAACAGAATATTCTTATGCCTAAATAATCAACACTACTTACATTATAGCAGTGTTCTACTGGAGAGTATTATAAAATTTAACAACTTTGTACGTTTGACCAAATGGAAAATGTACACATTACAGTACAGGCAAGCCTGCCTCGTGCTCCTTGAAAATGGCATACTGTATTTTCTAAAAATGCATTATATAAACTGAACGTGCAGAACAAATAGGGGGTTACAAACACAATCATGGCTAAGTTATGCACATAATACATAATTTACTTGGATTACACACAGAAATCCCAATTGCGTGATGCATCTAATGAACAAATCTACAAGGGCCGTGATGAGGATTCAAACCTGCATCAGAGAGCATCCCAGACACTGCCTTAATCGACCGAGCTACAATATGGTCAAAAGGAGTTGAAACTGAAGTTCTACTGAACTTGCTGGATCTTGCAGCCTCTCCGAGGCACACACCAGGGTTTTACACAACCCCCAACTCCCCCATGCACTCTAGCTATGTCAATAGGCCGTTCTCCCTCTTCGCCCTTACTTCATTACACACAGAAATCACAATTGGATTTGTGGATTTGTTCATTTGATGCATCACGCTATTGTGATTTCTGTGTGTAATGAAATAAGGGCGAAGAGGGAGAACGGCCTATTGACATAGCTTGAGTGCATGGGGGGGGGGGGAAGAGTTGTGTAAAACCCTGGTTTGTGCCTCGGAGAGGCTGCAGGATCCAACAAGTTCAGTAGAACTTCAGTTTCAACTCCTTTTGACCCTGTCGTAGCTCAGTTGATTAAGGCAGCGTCTGGGATGCTCTCGGACAAAGGTTCGAATCCTCGTCACGGCCCTTGTGAATTTGTTAACTTGGATTAAAAGTGATCTCGTGTGTGGGTGGGGGGAGGGGAATTGTAGGGGGATGGGATGAATATGGACAGCTTTGTGTGCATAGCAATGAATTTGTTGGATGATGGATGGATAGTAGACTGGGAAAGTGGTCATGAGGATAAACTTACTTAAGGAGTGGCGAGTTGCCACCAACCTGTTGAGCAACTGGCTCACACATCGCAAACATTTGCCGTCTTCCCTAATCTGAGCCTCGCTGACTCTCCCTCCCTGGCTAAGGATATGAAAGGAGGCAAGGTGAGTGCTGGATGGGTTTTAGATAAGGCTATAGTAATATCTAATTTAAATCATCACAAAAATAGTTCAAGAAATTACATAACGTTTTTGTATCAAGTTAATTGGCTAGTGATTCTGTGCATAGGAGAGTGGGAGGAGGACAAGTGGATACTGTGCTAGCTCAAGTACCTTCACATTCTCATAAGACATAAACAAGGATACAAACTATAGTACCATATCATCTGTTGCAAATGATGGAGTTTTATGAAAGTAGGCAATACAGAGGACACAGCATACCTCCTATCTGATGTAAAACAGGCCCTTCAATGGGCCACATTTTATATGTTTAATGAAGGTAAGTTTCAGCCCCTGTACTATTGAAAAATATAAAATCAGAAGCCACATAAAATGCAGTCAAATCACACTATAGAATGAAAAAGCAATGTAAAAGATCTGGGAGTAATCGTTAGAAGACCCTATCTTTAACCGCTGCACTGCGCCATAGTTTAAGATGACATGTCGTTTGTGCACAGAAAATTGCCCCCCTCTCCCCCCCAAAAAAAAATTTCATTCTAATATTGTTAAAATGCATTCCCTCTAAAATGCATGATCACAGGAAAAACAAAAATTTATCTGTAACATACTTGGAATGAGGAAGTAGGGCATGTGCTGTCAACAGCTGAATATTGCCAAACACTGTGGTGGGGGATGCTGCAAAGATATTTATAATTATTTAAAAGTTTTTGGTTAAATGTGTGGAACACTGCCATGGTAAAACATATGATGCCACTATCTTGTTGCATGCATATTATATTCTTAGATTAATAAAACAGTGTTTTTGATGTTACACTATATACACATGATATACAATATATAACTTTTTATAAACAATAACAAACCATAAAGTAATGCTGGTGCATGTCATAATACAATCTTAGCACAGTATAAAGCAACAAGCTACGATCAGCTAACCCCAGAAGTATGCTACACACATTGCTATTATTATTACTACAAACACTGCTATTATCATCAGATTCCTGTCATTTTCTCATGATTCTCATAATTTTGTGGAAAATGATTCATATTTATTTTCTAAAGGAACATGACATCACGTTGCATGATGTATAGATTCATGAAACCTTGGCTGTGAATGTCTGTCTCCTGCTGTGATCATCAATCATAACTAGCATTATCTTCACTGATAACTGAACCCTGTACATACCTAAATTTCATTGCAGTCAGGATCATCTATGACACTATCAATGAATAAAATAATTAACCAATTATTTTGCCTCATTATGAATCATCCCCTGATGGTGTGGCCCTGACTTGTGCAGTGGTGCTATGAGCTGCTGTGTGCACCAGCCTTGGTTGCTCTGGCAGCACTGAGGCTCTTGTTGAGGAAAGTAGATGATTTTATATTTTTCTCTCAAGAAGACACCCGATTACTGGAGTCCTGAGGCACAGGATGCGAGCCCTATGTACCCGCACAAGTTTTGAATGCTTCACTATACTGTACCTAAAAACACCTTAAAGCACTATGTGCACCACCAGTCAATGCACAGTGCAGGAGCTAAAGAACACAAAGGAGTTGTTATTACTGCAAGAAAAATGACAGGTTGGATAACAAGAACCTTTCAAACAAGAGATTCCATACAACGATACTTTTCAAGACACTACTGCAAAATAACAGCCCCGTTCAAAACTGGAGAAATTGTAGACCTGGAGAGCATGAAAAGAACCTTTTCTGCTAGAATCCAATTTATAACGCATCCAAATTATTGGAACTAATTAAATTTTTTAACTATATTCTCTAAAAGTGCAGGTGGGATACATAATAATTACTAATTGTAGGTATTGTCTCTAACACTGCACTTGGAAATATTACACAAGACCAAGAAGCAGGAAGGATGTGCAAAAATAGCCCCATTGAAAAGCAGAGGTGCAATATGTATGCCGAGAGAGAACTTTTTCAACAACAAAGGGCCAAAATGTTTCAACTCGCTTCCCCCACACAAAAGGGGCACAACTGGCTGGCATCTCCTGGTGTTCAAGAGGAAACTCGATAAACACCTCCAAAGGATACCTATCAACCAGGCTGTGATTCATACATCAGGCTGTAAGCAGCTGCATCCAACAGTCTGGTTGATCAGACCACAAACCAGGAGACTTGGTCAAAGACCAAGGCCTGGTCTCTGACCAAGTCCTGATCCTCTGACTCGCCACAAGGCAAAGTGGGCATGTGCACTAGAGAGGAGGAGAATGAGTGGGTTAGATAATGGGTGTGTGCATGGGAGAGGAGGAGAATGAGTGGGTTAGAGAGTGTGTGTGTGTGTGCATGCAGTGGTTATGAGAGTTGGTGGGTGGGAGGAGGAAGCCAAATCATGATTTTCTTTGCATGACGTGTGGTTAAATTATTTAATGCAATTTAAATTATTAGTCACTAAACAAAAACCACATGATGGAAAAAATGGGTATATATGCACTTTATATACAAGACTGTACTGTATTAATCAAAAACATTAAAAGTTACACATTTCATCAAAGACAAGTGTGTGATTACTGACCTTTTAATAAGATATTAGTTTTGGATAACTAAAATGCTTCTAATGAAGCAACAGAGGTACAGACTATATGCAATAAATACAAACCACACAATACTACCATCAATACTGTAAACAATCTCTAAATATAACAATACTGGCAAAGGATATAAATTATCTCTGAAAAAATTATAAAATTAATCGGGAATGATCACCTAAATAACCGGTCAAATGTTAAAAAATGCAAATTCAATAAGCTTTGCTTAACATATATCTTGACACACAAAATCACCGGAAGGACTGCAGACCTCATAGGATCAGTTTTATCACATCCTTACAAACCGGATAAATGGATTCACAACCTGGGGTATGTCAGACCAGCAGAGCAACAACAATGAATAAATTAAGCTAATAACTTTTAAACAGCATCAACTTGTGAATGTTTACTCATGCAGTGTCGATTTACCACACTTTTGCGACTAGAGCGAAATGGGCAAAACGCACAAGAAAATGGCTTTTCCCCAGAGTGTCTACGGCAATGTCTAATGAAGACAGAGTGCCAGGGTGTGGAGTAATTACAGTGTGTACAGCGATGCATCTTCTTTTCCGAGTACATCTGAGACGAATCTTTTGGAGGTCTACCTCTGTGCCGGAACAGCTCATTACTGTTATTTTGTATCATCTGGAATAAAAGTGACATTCATATCCTTGCTATTCATGTTAAATCAAATAATTAAAGAATAATTGACCAACAAAAATACTTTCAATTATCAGTTAAATTGACTTTTATTGAAGAATGAAAATAACCAAAATGTACATCACAGATGTTGGCTCTACTGTAATGTATCTTATCTTCAAATTGATGTATATCATAATTAGCCCTTCAAAAAGATAAATTAGGGCAATACAAATTTATATGTTAATTTGTAAATACTTATATCATCTCTTGATTACTTAACTGAAAGGTTACATAGGAGTTAAGAACTGTTTATTCATATAGTCTTATACTAATTAAGATACAGTGGCTAGTTACTTAACATCCAGGATTTCTAGACTATGTGAAGCCGTCTTGCATAATAAAAATCAAGAAAACAAGCAGGAGGCAGAGGCAGCTAAATGCATCAATGGAGAAAATAAATGAATGTATGAACCAAAATGTTTAAATTTCTTTATGTTTTCCACTTTCCTGGGTGGAGGGGATGATAGTCCCCCCCCCCCAAAAAAAAAAGAAAAAGTGAAAATATGTAGATAAAATAAAATCTCTTCATTAACACTATACTGTACAACATCAAGGATAAACAAGCAAAGTTCCTCAGCAGCACCACCCAATTACTTAACAAGACCGGTGCCTCTCATTGTCACACCACAAATTCAGTTTGTCTTTAATAGCTACTTTCTAGTTATGTCCTTGTGTCTTGTCTACAGTAATGTGTTAATAAAGATTCAACATTTTGTGCAACTTATTCTAATATAAGTGCAACAGCTTTAGAAGACTTATGTGGCAGCTTTGCTAGAACAGATTAACAGATGAAGAGTAATGCAGCCATTTCATTAAAGGAAGTAATAAAGTGCTACAAGACTGACCGCTTGGTGGGGCGGGTGGTTCTGCAGGCTCAGGTGGCTCGCTAGCTGATTGTACAATTCCTGCTGGGTGTCACAGCTGTAGCTCTCTAGTCCCATGAATCCATCATAGCCATCAACTATGTTCTGATATATGAAGCAGCATTAATAGTGCTATGCTTACTGGATAAGCATAAACATCTAATGACAAATTATTAAATGAAGTCTGTAAAAGAAATAATTAAAGATAAATTATTTGTAAAGCCTTTCTGTTATAACACTAAAATTAAGCATGCGAATGAAATATATTTTTTACTCCTGTGCAACTTGCAAGGTAATACAGAGTATAATAAGATTCAAGTTAGATGAACACCTAGGGAAAAACAAACTTATTACTATATGAATCAACAATGTTCATGAAAGGAAAATCTTAAGTGACCAATCCAGCAGAATTTTCCCTGGATGACTTAAGATCAGACATGAAAGGGAAAGATGAGTACACTGCACATTCCTAAATTATAGGAAAAGCTTTTGATTCTTTCTCCTACATAGCTTTTGCCTTTTCATAGAGGGATGAGGAAAAGAAATGGCTTATATTCATGCTCTGCTAATTTGGATGGCAGGTAAGCATGGTTTGTAAGGTCCCTTGCTATTGCAATATAGTCAAACCACGTGTACAAAACCTTGTGTATAGGCATCAGTGAATATATTCCTAGTATCCTATTATACCCAGCCCTCAAGTATGCTCTCACAGTATACCCAGCCCTCAAGTATGCCCTCACAGTATACCCAGCCCTCAAGTATGCTCTCACAATATACCCAGCCCTCAAGTATGCTCTCACAATATACCCAGCCCTCAAGTATGCTCTCACAGTATACCCAGCCCTCAAGTATGCTCTCACAATATACCCAGTCCTCGAGTATGCTCTCACAATACTTGCAATGTAGTTTCTTTTTATTATAAAAGTCTTTTGCTTATTCAAGAACTAAATGCTTTATTATATTTGTTGTCCATGAACATGCTGGAAGGGTGACAGGGAGACTGCTGACATTGATGAATAATTTTCTAACTGCCAGAAAGATGAGGGGAGTAATCAGAGGTAATGCATCTGACTGGAGGAGTGTTAATACCAAGAGTACCACAGGGTTCAGTTCTTGCACCAGTAATGTTCACTGTCTACATTAATGATCTACCAGAAGGAATACAGAATTATATGCACATATTTGCTGATGATGCTAAACTTCTAGGGAAGACGAGAGACTTAGACGACTCTCATGCCCTTCAAAATGACCTGGATAAAATAAGTATAGAGTACAATGTGGCAAATGAATTCATTGTGAATAAATGGCTTGTATTGGAAACTAGAATAGGTGAAACTAGGTCACACACAACCTACAAGTTATATGGAAAGGAATTAAAGAACTAATAAAGAAAGATGTACAGGTGGTTAAGGATAGTAGACTCACCAGAGGAGCACAATAAGAACACTGCTAGGAGCAAATACTATGCTTCCCAACTTTAGAATCGCTTTTAAATACATGGATGGTGAAATACAGTACTAAAGAAACTGTTCATGACTTTTTCAAGTCTAAAACTAGAATATGCAGCAGTTGTATGGTGTCCATATCTCAAGAAGCACATCAACAAACTGGAAAAGGTCCAAAGACATGTAATGAAATGGCTTCTGGAACTGAAGGACAAGATCTACGAGGAGAGGCTACAGGCGTTAAATATGCCAAAGCTAGAAGATAAAAGAACGAGAGGTGACATGATGACTACACACAAAATAGTAACATGAATTTTCAAAATTGATGAATTCTTGAAACCTGGTACTTCAAAAACAATAGGTCATAGATTTAAGCTACGGAAACAAAGTTGCCAAAAAAGTTAAGAGAAGGTGGTGGTTGCCAAACTTGTCAGTAGTTTCAAAGCATCATATGACAGTATCTTAGAGATGATTTCGGGGCTTTAGTGTCCCCGCGGCCCGGTCCTCGACAAGGCCTCCACCCCCAGGAAGCAGCCCGTGACAGCTGACTAACACCCAGGTACCTATTTTACTGCTAGGTAACAGGGGCATAGGGTGAAAGAAACTCTGCCCATTGTTTCTCGCCGGCACCTAGGATCGAACCCAGGACCACAGGAACACAAGTCCAGCGTGCTGTCCGCTCGGCCGACCGGCTCCCTCCCAGTACAGGGAAGACAGGACACCATAAGGACAGTGCTCATCTTGGAACTACACTTAGGCCTTTACTAGTACTCTTTAGGGTTTTCATTACTGCCTCATATGAGATTATTCACTAGTTTGCTGTTATAGTTAAGTAATAAAGATAAAGTTGATATTAGTGAATAAAACTAATAATTATATTTATGATGATACCATATTTGGCCAACCATCAGGTGTATGTTTTAATGTGTTGCCTATGGAGCAGAACACAGCTGGCAGTGGTGTAAGTGTTGGCCTTGACAGCCTTTGGTTCATCACACCTGTTTCACATGCTACGGATGAGTGCCAAGCTCTTGCATTAATATTTTGACTACAACTGAATGAAGTTTTCATTGTTGCATAATAATTACATGATCAGTCACAAGGTCTTCAAGTTTCCAGCTTCCCTATAATGCATATGACCTTCACTTATCTGCATAATGTGCTTCAGTGAAAAAGCTAAAAATTTATTTATAAATAAATTCTTCACTTATAATGAAGATCTGATTTTCACATGAAAACATTAATAAATATATTTATTGTTTAAATCTCATGAATGCCATAAGTTTTGAATGAGTCGTTACCTCTTGTATCCGTGCTAACTCACTTGAGACATCCTGGAAGGTCCTGGGTTGTGGTGATCACTGGTGTCCGAGGGAAGAGAGCCAACATATCCTGGGGTATCCTGCGACACATTCCTCTCATTTACATCTGGTGCCTCATACTTGGGGTGATAACCTTGTGTCATGTGATCCTCTAGGCCTCCTCCTTCACTTTCACCCACTTGTCCACCACCATCAGATAAAGCATGGTAATCTATTTCACTGTTGTATGACAAGTCTGCTCTGTCTTCAGGGCTGTCCACTATCTCTTCCTTCACTGCAGTCTCATTAAATATATCCTGTAATGAAAATAAAAATTTAATAATACTATATAGCTATATTTTACTCTTACCCAATTGTCACTATATGTGAAGGGCCAGTTACCTTGCGATGATTTCGAGCTCAACGTCCCCGCAGCCCGGTCTTTGACCAGGCCTCCTAGGTACCTAATAAACCTAGGGGGCCATGTACCTAATAAACCTTGGGGGCCATGTACCTAATAAACCTAGGGGGCCATGTACCTAATAAACCTTGGGGGCCATGTACCTAATAAACCTTGGGGGCCATGTACCTAATAAACCTTGGGGGCCATGTACCTAATAAACCTTGGGGGCCATGTACCTAATAAACCTTGGGGGCCATGTACCTAATAAACCTTGGGGGCCATGTACCTAATAAACCTTGGGGGCCATGTACCTAATAAACCTAGGGGGCCATGTACCTAATAAACCTTGGGGGCCATGTACCTAATAAACCTTGGGGGCCATGTACCTAATAAACCTTGGGGGCCATGTACCTAATAAACCTTGGGGGCCATGTACCAAATAAGCCTAGGGGGCCATGTACCAAATAAACCTTGGGGGCCATGTACCAAATAAACCTTGGGGGCCATGTACCAAATAAACCTTGGGGGCCATGTACCTAATAAACCTTGGGGGTCATGTACCTAATAAACCTTGGGGGCCATGTACCTAATAAGCCTAGGGGGCCATGTACCTAATAAACCTTGGGGGCCATGTACCTAATAAGCCTTAGGGGCCATGTACCTAATAAACCTAGGGGGCCATGTACCTAATAAACCTTGGGGGCCATGTACCTAATAAACCTTGGGGGTCATGTACCTAATAAACCTAGGGGGCCATGTACCTAATAAGCCTTGGGGGCCATGTACCTAATAAGCCTTGGGGGCCATGTACCTAATAAGCCTAGGGGGCCATGTACCTAATAAGCCTTGGGGGCCATGTACCTAATAAGCCTAGGGGGCCATGTACCAAATAAACCTTGGGGGCCATGTACCTAATAAGCCTAGGGGGCCATGTACCTAATAAACCTTGGGGGCCATGTACCTAATAAGCCTTGGGGGCCATGTACCTAATAAGCCTTGGGGGCCATGTACCTAATAAACCTTGGGGGCCATGTACCTAATAAACCTTGGGGGCCATGTACCTAATAAACCTTGGGGGTCATGTACCTAATAAACCTAGGGGGCCATGTACCTAATAAGCCTAGGGGGCCATGTACCTAATAAACCTAGGGGGCCATGTACCTAATAAGCCTAGGGAGCCATGTACCTAATAAACCTAGGGGGCCATGTACCTAATAAACCTAGGGGGCCATGTACCTAATAAACCTAGGGGGCCATGTACCTAATAAACCTAGGGGGCCATGTACCTAATAAACCTAGGGGGCCATGTACCTAATAAACGTATGTTGGTATTGGGGTTCCCCGCCCGCATCCAGGGTTGAACTACTGACCCTCCCCAAGATGCAACCCCACAACAATTGACTAACTTCCAGGTACCTATTTACTGCTAGGTGAACAGAGGTATTAGGTGAAAGGAATGTGCCCAACCATTTCTGTCCTTCCAGGGATTCAAACCCAGGATTCCCTATTATAAGTCAAGAATGAATCCAACTGCAATACATTACTATAGTCATAAATAAATAATAATAATACTGACTTTAAATGTGCTGGCAAATATTTTGTATATTTTATAAATTTTACAGAACACTATGAAATCTAACATTTTTAGACGTTTCATTAATTTTCCAAATGTCCACAAATATGACTGACCTTAAATGGCATATCTGGAGTGCATTCCAACTCAGACTTGCGAGCTATTTGATTATTATTACCGACAGCCAAGTGATCTGCAGCATTAACTGAGGTGTTGACTCCATTTACTCCCTCTTCTCCTTCCCCGGTGATCTGTTCCTCCTCCAAGGTCCGTCTTGATTCATGATTATACGATGTGTCGGATTGGGAGCAGCTTTCTTGGATCTTATTACTGCTGAAAGTTGCATCATCATTTACAGGTACTGGGGAAATATTCTCTTCTTTTTTTCTTTTTTTAGGTTTTGGACTTGCCACGTCATTGCTCAAGCTACTACCAGGCCGAGTCTCAGTGGCGTGCGAGGGAAGCCCATCCGGTACGGCCAAGCCCTTAACTCTCAGTGACTCGGCAGCTTTGAGAAGACTTGTCAGGTCATTCTGAGACACACTTGCAACTCCTTGATACATGTAACTAAACAGGGCATTCACATCTTTGCAAGTAATATCTTTGAGCACAATGACTGGATGCTTACACGATGTTTGCTGGAATATTTCTTCAAAATATTCACTGCATGCTGCTAGTACTAACTTGTGTGCAGGGTAGAACTTGCCTTCACATGCTACAGTTACATCAGTATAATTCTCCTGAAACACAGACAACACCTATGAGTAAAATAGTAGAGCATTGAATCATTATAATAAAGTGAAGAAGTTTGATTGCAGTCAATACTGTACAGTATCTCTGAAATATCTTGCAATACAAACAACATTATGAACATTTTCAAAAACATAAAATTTCCCTCCTTCCAGTCAAATGCATTAAGCAAGATATAAAACAAAGATAACCTTATGAAACAACATGAAAGCATCTTTCCAAGCAAAATCAGTTTCTCTCTAAGGTAAGATCTGCTGGGTTATATGACCAGGACACTAAACAGTAAGGGAGTTTTACAAGTGCTCCACACACACAGTTACTATAGGTGCTAGGGAGTCACTTTAAGAGATGGTAGTCCAGAGCAGAATGAGTGACAGGTGAGTATTGTATGACAGTGATGTTAAATGATATAATGCGCAACTGGTTTGATATTAATGTAGGTGTGTTTACCTATCTGTACTTACCCATCACTGACTATGGGAGAGCGAGATCTAGCTCTTTATATCCCCCCCTCATAGCTGTTGGTACCTAACATGCTAATTGAGGAGCCGGTCGGCCGAGTGGACAGCACGCTGGACTTGTGATCCTGTGGTCCTGGGATCGATCCCAGGCGCCGGCGAGAAACAATGGGCAGAGTTTCTTTCACCCTATGCCCCTGTTACCTAGCAGTAAAATAGGTACCTGGGTGTTAGTCAGCCGTCACGGGCTGCTTCCTGGGGGTAGAGGCCTGGTCGAGGACCGGGCTGCGGGGACACTAAAAAGCCCCGAAATCATCTCAAGATAACCTCAAGATAAGTCTCTCAACATGAATGTTTTCATAATTCTATTTATTAATGTTGTGGAAAGAATTGGCTTCAGCAACCTCTTCCTTAAACAATGCATTCCACTTGCCAGCCATTCATACAGGGAACAAAAACTTCCTTATATCTATGACTCAATTGCATGTCCAGCTTCCATTAATGTCAGTGGAAGTGTATGCCAGGGTTGTGTAATTCACCCTGGATATATAATACACACAAGGATGAAGTTATGAGGAAGGTCAAGGTAAGAATGTTAGAGAGATGTAACAGGCCTGGTGTACATGTAACATGTACACTAGGATGTAATATATTAGGCCTAATGTACAGGCCTAATATGAGTAACTTGTGTGTGTAAAATTTTATGAATGCAGATGAAGATCTTTTAGAAGAAAGAGCTATACAGACTGAATGAAAACTGGAACGATGTGAGTGAGTAAAGTGGAGAAAAGTAGAGTAATGGTGGTACAAAAGGTAATTTTGTTTGTGAAATAATTGAGAATGGTGAAATGCCAGAAGTGTCAATCAATTTAAATGTCTGGAAAGTGTGATTACTAAAAGAAGTATTTGGAATCAAAGTTGAGAGCAAGGTCAGTCCAGGAAGCAAAGTAGCCGGCTCAATGAAAGTGTTGGTATAAAAAAAAAAAAAAAAAAAAAAAATTGCTAGGAATAAAATGCAGCCAGAGATATGACTGGAGCTGTGGCATCAATTCTTGCGTATGGTTGTTATACTATGGTTTGGGACGAACGTGAAGGGAACAGATAAAGGAATTAATGTGTCCGTGATGTAAAGTGTTAAAGGCAACAAACTAAGATTGATGAAGATATACTAAGGCAGTTTAAGCATTTTGAGCAATGGATGTTGGTTGGTTGACTGGTGAAGGGCTTGTACTCAAAACAACATGAGAGTAGAGGCAGTTTCTTGTTGCTGCTTCCACAAATTTAGCTTTCCGTGTATCTGTACCCTTGTGAAGTTCTCTATTTTGCTGGAATGTAGCAGTGTTTCTTTATCATTGATAATATAATGAATGGACAAGTTATATTTTTAATATCTGTTTAATATCTATAGTCTTCTTTAAATATATTAATCATATTTTGTTTTCAGAGCTGATACAACCTAACCATGAAAATGGGAATCGAGGTAATGGAATAGTATGCACTCTATTCAAAAGCAAATAAGGTAATCTGAGAACAAATTCAAACAAATAAAACTTTCACATATTTAGTCTATTATAATAACTTAATTATTTAAAATATAACTGCAATGCTCCTAAATCAAATATGAATTTGACAAACTGCCTTCTACCTTTTCTCGAAGAGTAGAAATGACACTGGAGAATGTGGAGCTGTGGTTCTTCCACGACAGAACAAGCATTCTGTCATTCATCTTGGTGCAAGTATCTGAAAAATATTAAAAATAAAGTATTAACATGGAGTTGGCCCACAGAATGAGACAGAATATCAAGATTCAAGGAAAACAATCATCAATGGTTCACCACCTAACCAAGCACAGTGGATGCAGAAAAACCAGAAGGAACAAGTGAAATTGAAATAAGTTTATTGAGGTAAAATACACACAAAGGGATGAGGTAGCTCAAGCTATTCTCACCCCGTTCAGTACATCGTGTTAATACATACATACATATTATGTAATACATACATAATACATATAAACACATCACAAACAATAAACATATTACCAGACATTCTGAGAGATAAACATATACATTTCCTCCTTCACAAGTAGTATGGTATCAGACGTACACACAAATACTTTTATGACCTAAAGGAACAAGTGGTCAAAACTCTACTGGATCACCAGATATCAACAGTCCAGGGAAGAACAGAGGACAAAGCAGCCAAGAAACACCACATACAGGAAAATACAGCAGATGCTGCTACCCAACCAGCGGGTCAGTGCAGTACAAACTGGAGATGGACCAGCCAAAAGCCCAGCAGCTTAAGACAAGACTGCAAGAAACAAATCAAATGGAACCCATTCTGGGAACTGGAAAGCAAAGCCCAACCTCACAGCCAACAGAGAAGTCTGAAGAGAAAACAATCTCAGGGAAACCCCCAGGGAAGAAAGCCACGAACAAGTTGGAAAGAAAGCAAGAGGGACACAGGCCCACAGAAAAGCACCCAAAGACACATCCAGTAACCTGAGAAGACAAGAAATCCAGAAACTGAAAACCAAACTTGATTGAATATCAAGAACTATGAAAGGCAAAAAAATTAGTGGGCAAGAACTTGAAACCCTGACTCAGTAAGGATCCAATGGGGAACTGACAGTTGGGCAGAAAACAACCCAACCCAGGATTGGGGTCCTGCCAATGCTACCAAAGCCAATGAAGGATGAAGGCAAAAACATAAGCAACCAACCAGTCCAACAAGGAATATATGTGCTAGAAAAGCCCTAAATAGAGACAGAGCAGATGACAAAGAAATCTAATGGGAGCTCAAGAACATCCAAGGGCAGTAGGCCTCACACTGCACAGAGAACAACACACCTGGATAATAATACAAACCATCCCATGGCAGAGTGGAACCCAAGCTATCTGGTCATGGTTGTTGAACCAGAGGACCAGGACATGCAGGCTGGAGGCTCAGGATTACCTTTAACCATTAACATGAGCATTTAATAAAAGGGTACCCAGTCTTTTTTTGCACATCGTTCACTATTTAAAAATTTTGTGGATGTACAATATGTACTTTTACATGTTACAAATATATATATATATATATCTTTGCTATATAGTTTTCCTAGTTTTGAGCCTTTTTTTTGTTATACTGTATATTAATGTAATTGCAACTGTTCATCTCACACCCAAGTATGAGGTGAAGTACCTTGGCACTAAGACAAGGTACAGTGGCACCTTGACTTGCAAATTTTTCTAGTTCCAACCCCAATTTCGTTGGAAGATTTGACTCGACTTACGACCTTTGCCTTGAATTGCGACTTTGTTGATACACATATGGGTCGACGGAACGCGTGGTTCCTGGTGGCATGGACGACCCCACTTCAGTTTACCAGACCACCCGCTTAGTAATGATTGCACTTGAATTCTTTGCAAAGAATTTCATTGTTTTTGATCTTATTGTTTTTTGAACATAGAAGTAGTTATTATATATCATTGCCATGGTTACCAAGAAAGTCAGTGATAAGGTTCAACATAAAATACACATGTGAGGATGACCATAAAGAAAAAACAAGTCTATGGAAAGGTTCTTAGTGAGAAAAACAAGGTAAGCCACAACCAGGTCCTACTGGTATGCCTGCAAAACGTAGGAGAGAGAGTACCCCAGAGAAGTCATCATTGCGTGATATTATAATGTAAGGGGACTCCCCTTCCAAACAGTAACACCTCTTCTCCCCCCCCCCCTCCTCCTCACCGTCTTCCATATGCCAACAAGAGTCATCAATAAAGGTAAGCTATAACTTGTACATACTATTATGGGCTCATCATAGCCTGTGCTACATGGACATTTCGTTCAGAGTAGCCAAATCCAAAACAACAACATTGTACATACTATAGGACAAAATATGTGCGTATTATGTATGAAATGTATCTTGAAGTTAATATTTTTGGGAGTGTGGAATAGACTAATTAAATTTATATTATTTTTTATGGGAAAATTCACTTCGAGTCAGGAATTTTCGAGTTACGACCCATCTCTGCAAACGGATTAAATTTGAAAACGGAGGTACCACTGTACTACTAATTCAAGAACATAATAACTTAAGAATAAAGGACACGGCAATATAAAAACCAAAGCTGAATGAGGTAACTTAAATGAGGCCTATAAAAAGGCCAAGATAAAGCTGAAGAATAATATTAGACGTCTTGTTAACACTTGCCAAAATAAATCCCAGAATTATATTTGCTTTAATCCATACATTTATGGATCAATGATCTTAATAAAAGTATCCTGTGCTTTTGGGCAAATATCCTTAACACAAAAGCCGAATATTCGGATATAGGTCACTTCACACCCATGACAGTTTACCAATATATTGGAATGAGTTAAAAAAAAAACCTAACCCAACGTACCCAAGCAGAGCTGACATAGCTTAACCTAACAACATAACTGTTTAACCATTAGAAAACACATGTGTATAGACCTTTGGCCAGATTCACGAAAGCACTTACGAACCTGTACATCATTCCTCAATCTTTGGCGTTTTTGTTTCCTAGTATTAAACAGTTAATGAGCTCCAAAGCACCAGGAGGCTGTTTATAACAATAACAGTTGAATGGGAAACTTTCATGCTTGTAAACTGTTTAATAAATGTAACCAAAGCCGTCAAAGAATGAGGAAAGATGTACACGTTCGTAAGTGCTTCCGTGAATCTGGCCCCTTGAGTATACCCAAATGTTCACCCATGGCGTCTCTTGGCAGAAACATTGGGGGCTGCTCAGTCCTTAAATAACTCATTCCTGCCACCTACCAGTTCACGTTACTCGGCCTGGGTGATTACTCGTCCTCCTCCCTCCCACTCACTCAGAGTGACACACGCCGGCTAAAGACTCTTCACTTTCACTAGTTTTCGTGGAAGTAGCAGCTGCCCGAGTGAGGAAATGTACGATACCTTTGTTTATGGTGGACCAGGGGTGCCAGGTCTAAACTGCTGACAGTAGCGAGCTGACGTCTAAAAGTAGCGGATTGGCAATAAAAGTAGCCCAAATTTATTTTTTACTGATACAGGGTTTAAAATATTATATTTTAATATATATAGTACATTACACGATTTTAATTGCTTTGTTAATATTATCTCTGTATATATATTTAAAAAAAATATGATAATAGAATAACCTATTAACATATGCTGTATGAAGCATAATGTATTGTGCCTTCTAATTTTTGTTAAACTACCATTCAAGCTGTCATTGCAATCAATCTGAGCTACCTATGTGCTTTAATATACCTACAAATTTCTCTCATCTTTTATTTTTTTCTTGCTATGTAGCTGTTATCATTTTTATAAATTTTGCTAGTATTTACCTACTAAAAATTGTCTTAAATTAAGGACCTGCCCGAAACGCTGCGCGTACTAGTGGCTTTACAAGAATGTAATTACTATGCTATGTATCCTCACAATCCCAATGTACCTTCTTGTATATAAATAAATAAATAAATAATGAGTGTGGAGTCCTTCCACGTCTTCACAGTTGAAGATTGTCAAGAAGATCTTCGTCTGCATCCATAACATTGTTTTTGTATATTGCAGACTCATGCTGCAACCCGTCCTCGACTCAAGTCCATTACATTCAGCGGCCAACCCCACAGACGCATTCATAAATTTTAACATACTGTTCATTCAAAACTGGAATTTTCTCAAGTATAAATTAATATTATAATATATTGGCATATTGTGTATATATAGGCATAGGATAGGTTAGGTCAGGTGTTTAGGTTCTGTTGGCGATTATTTGTATTTTTAGTACGTGGGTGAAGCATTTATAGCGTTGTGATTCGAACAAAATTCGTCAGTGAAGCACTTGTTCCGGATATGTTCGAACATCAGCAGTTGTGAGTCGTGTGTAAACCGCTTTTCATTCATAAACAGGGGGTTTGGCGGGTGCATGGAATCACTTTTGGATCTTTGTTTGGAGGACGGGCTGCATATTTAAGCATTGCCATGGGTGGTTCAAATGATGAGTCATCCCGTCCTTGTTTCAAGTTCATTACATCCAGCGGTCAACCCCACAGACGCATTCATAAATTTTTACATGTTGTTCATTCAAAACGGGAATTTTCTCAAAAATTAATTAATATTATAATATATTAGCATACTGGGCATATATAGGCATAAGTTAGGTTAGGTGTTTAGGTTCTGTTGGTGATTATTTTTATTTGTAGTACGTGGGTGAAGCATTTACTACGTTGTGGTTCGAACAAAATTCGTCAGTGAAGCACTTGTTCCGGAAGTGTTCGAACGTCAACAGTTGTGAGTCGTGTGTAAACCGTTTTTCATTCATAAACAGGGGGTTTGGCGGGTGCATGGAATCACTATTGGGTCTTCGTTTGGAGGACGGGCTGGTTGATTCTCAAGACTAATGTCAAAACCTCAATTCCCATTCGATTTCTCAGTTTAGTTTTCACAGATGTTACTCTCGAAAATACCCGTTCAACCAGGGTATTAACTGATTGGTAAGCTGTATATTTTCAAAGCAAACAGCGAGGTCAATAAGTATGGGATCGCCAGCAGTGTTCTTGACAGTTATTGTCTTGGTCCAAAATGACGGTCCAGATGTTGGAATTTGTCCCTCACAAATATTGATCAGTCAATGGTTAACAGTAGGCGCCACTGACTTTCAATTTCACAAATCTTAGATTGGTCAGCTAGTATTAATAGAAGTTCTGAAAATGGTGGCCGTGTGTGGCTAAGGCATATGCTAGCTGACAGATTTTTCACCTTTTTGAAAGTTTTAGCATTACTTAGAATACGAGAAAGACGCTCTTTACAAGTTTTCACTAAAAAATTATGGCATCTTTCTAGAATATTTTGAAGCTTTCCCTGGGTTATAAAATTGTTTTGTCTGTTAATTGCCAGAAGTGTTGAAAATTCGTAACCAAAGTCAACTTTCTCCCGGGGCAGATAAATGGAATTGTAGTCCAAATTAACATGAAGCTTTGCATGATCAAGATGAATGATTCTTCTGAGCATTCCAAGAGTGAAGTTTTCTAAGTCACTGTGAAGGCTACGCTGATCTACTTCATCTTTTTGATAAAGTAAATTCATGCTTTCAAAATCATTTAGGATTGGTTTGAGAAATGATCCCCCCCAATATAGCTTATTGGAGGGATCAGAGTACATATAAAATAGTTGCCTTGCAACATATTTATCACAAGCGATTTGGTAATGAGTTGTTAAAGAATTCCACTGATCTAACAGCCGCTTTACACTACCGCTCCTTGCCAACCATCGTCTTCCTGTCTTCCTGACAAAGGTATTAACTATAAGGGATCTTTCCCATCATTTATCAATCTGTAAATTTCTAGATAACTTTCTCTCCTCAATGAAGATCTTTGGAACAAGCTGTACCTTTCGAGATGAAGTATTAATGACAATTTTTTTTTAGATATATACAATAGTTGTTACATTCTTGTAGAGCCACTAGTACGCGTAGCGTTTCGGGCAGGTCCCTGGAATACGATCCCCGCCGCGAAGAATCCTTGTTACAACCAAGTACACATTTTACTGTTGAGTTAAACAGAGGCTACAGTTAAGGATTTGCGCCCAGTAAATCCTCCCCGGATACGAACCCATGACAAAGCGCTCGCGGAACGCCAGGCGAGTGTCTTACCACTGCACCACGGAGACTGGTGAACCAAACCAATAAGGTTAGGAAATCTATGGCCCCTGGGGGAGGGTTACCTTGCCTTGCGGTTACTTTTCTTTCGAATGTTCCTAGGATGTTGACCACACCCTCATGTTCCTGGGATCAACGTCTCCAGGAGGCCCGGTCTCTGACCAAGCCTCCTGCGGTAAGTGGTCTAGTCAATCAGACTGTTGGACGAGGCTGTGATTTATGCAATTACATTATAAAAGCATAAATAATCATCATTGAGTTTTGTTAATATTAATAACCCAAATTATATTGATTGATGAAGATTAAGCCACCCAAAAGGTGGCACGGGCATGAATAGCCCGTAAGTGGTGGCTCTTTTGAGCCATTACCAGTATCAAGAGCTGATACTGGAGATCTGTGGAGGTGCGGCTGCACCCTGCGTGACGGGAGATGTCTCCCGTCATCTTTACTCGCTACTTGACTGCTTATATTATTGGACTACACCTCAGCGTCCTCCAATAGGATGGAAAGAATGTTACCTGTAATTAGGGAAAGTATTTGAGTAGTCGTAATTAGTGCTAATGAGTTTGTCATTAAGGTATTGAGAGATTGGAGCGAGTGTAATGTTTACTCGCTACAGGTTCCAGATCAACCAAAAGAACAGTTTCTAAATCAAGCAACTGACATGTGTGGAGAGCCTATAGTGTCATAATTGATATGTTTGTCCTGCACACCGCCCCCCCCCCCATCCAGTGGGCAGCGGTGGATAGGTTACAATCACTTAGTTACTACCTACAGTTTGCAAACTGGGGATATTTGGCTAAAATTTCTGGTAGCAGATCATTTTGAATTAAATATTTACACATTGCTGAAACATTGGTTATAGAATTGTCTCTAAATTCACGTATCTTTTCCGCACTCCATCACATAGTGACGGAGGGTGTGCGAATAATTTTGTTGACACAGTTTACATTTGGTCAGGTCTACATCAGCAGATAATGAGAATTCCCAGAGATACTTGTAACCGAGTCTAAGCCGAGCAGTAGTAACATCTAGAAGTCTGCTGAATTCATTGGATGATCCATAGATGTGTGGCTCCTCTTGCATGATAGTATGATGATAGATGTAATTACTGGGGTCGATTTCACTTTGCCTCAGATCTACAAGATCTTGTTGAAGTTCTCGGTGTACTGCTGCTCTCAGATTGCTCATTGACAATCCAAGGTTACACTCAACGTCTCCTTTAAAGGCAGATTCTTTGGCTAACTTATCAGCTCTATCATGCATTCGGAGGCCAACATGAGATGGAAACCACATGAAATGGACTCTGTTACCATCCTTAATAATTTTGTTGTATTTGTGTCTAGCTTCGGGCACTTTGCCTCAGATCTACAAGATCTTGTTGAAGTTCTCGGTGTACAGCTGCTCTCGGTATCGTTGCACGACAAGTTGTCAGTAAGGTACGAAGAGTCTGGTGTACGATGGCTGGGAGGCCGCGTCCCACCCAGGGTTGCCAGATTGGGCTAAAAGTAGCGATTTGGGCTACTTTTGAAAGCCCCGCGCTCCCAAATTTTAAATTTCGCTACTTGCTGTGTCAACAAAATTATTCGCATACCCTCCGTCACTATGTGATGGAGTGTGAAAAGATACGTGAATTCAGAGACAATTGTATAACCAATGTTCCAGAAATGTGTAAATATTTCATTCAAAATAATCTGCTATCATAAATTTTAGCTAAATATCCCCAGTTTGCAAACTGTGGGTAGTAACTAAGTGATTGTAACCTATCCACCGCTGCCCACTGGATGGGGGGCGGTGTGTAGGACAAACGTATCAATTGTGACACTAGGCTCTCCATATATGTCAGTTACTTAGCTTAGAAACTGTACTTGTGGTCGATCTCGAATCCATTTATGATGTGACGACTTATCCTGAATTTTGTAACTAGCTCATCAAGATTGTAACTTGCTTAGCTAAATGAATTGTGTGGTTCAGTCCCTGAGCCTATTATGTGCCTCTGTAACCCTTTCCACTACTACCCACAAGATGGGTATGGGGTGCATAATAAATGAACTAAACTAAGCTCTAGGAGTGGGCAGCCTTGGACCTCTTCCCCCAAGCTTGTGTGAGGTCACAGCAAAGTTTAAGCGGAATAACTGCTGTTTTCTATACCTTGGAAGCATAAGCGATAAGAAACCTTCATTGTAAGTCAATCAAGGAACTCACATATACTATTGATTTAATGGGTTTTGTAGCATAGTGGGCTTCGTCTCACAAACGAAGATCCTGGGTTCAATCCCTGATTGGGACAGAGACGGTTG